TCTCTCTCTCTCTCTCTCTCTCTCTCTCTCAAATAAATAAAAATAAAAAATAATTAAAAAAAAAAGAGATAATCTGCTTCTTATAGTAGTAAAGACAGAACTTTTCACAAGTTATTGTCTTGTTCTTAAAACTGTGAAAGGGTACGGTGGCTCTGAAAGTGCTTAGTGGTAATACCCTAGATTCTAAGACTGAAATACAGTATTTTGCTCTTCACAAGGCAATATTCCCTGCTGGGCAATCTTGGTGGGCATAAAATCCATTTCCTCATTATTCTTACAGAATATTAAAACTTAAATATGATACTTATTGGAATGATTGACTATTGCTTTAAATTCCTTGTTTTGAGGCCAGGGCTCAGTAGACTAAGCACTTGCCTGGTAAGCGCAAGGGCCTGAATTCAATCCCCAGTTCTGCTAAAAAAAATCCTTGTTTTGCATTTCTAAGGTAAAACATATACTTGTATTCCAAAGCTAAATAAGACTTTTCATTAGCTTTTAATTCTGTAGAACTGCTTCTTGGGGGTCATGCTCATTATTTCACAATAATAATTTAACAAGAAACAAAATTCTGTAAATTCTATTCTTTTCTGTATATACGTATGTAGCCATGTATACATACAAACACACTACTGGGAATTGAAACACACCCAGGGCCTTCAGACTAACCCACATCCTTAGCCCTTTTTATTTATTTATTTGAGACGGATCCAAATTACTAAATTGGAAACAAGCTGCCATGCCAAATGACAAAGATCTGCTGTGTTAGAAACAATGGCAGGTACAGCATTGGTGTCTCAGGTATGACTCTGCGTTTGGGGAAGGAGGGCCATCCAAACCCGAGGCTTTGGCTCAGACAAGGATCATGAGAGTTCTTCCAGCTCGATCCGAGACACTGGTGGGGCCTTCTCAAAAGAGAGCAGGCTGAAGGGGAGCAGCTCTTCCAACAGAAGACTAAAGAACACCTGGCAGCCTTGAAGAAACATCATGAAGATGAGCTCTATCATCATAAAATGGAAACTGAGCATATGGAGAAAGATATTGAATGACATAAGCAGATCAAACAACTAAAACATGATGAAATACACATGTCCCCCACAGAATGGCATCTATCATTATGCGTGTCTACGTAGACATAATCCTGGTCTAATTACTATTTGGTCTGTATGCTGCAAACATAATAAATTGACATCAGTGAAAATAAATAAATAAATTACTAAATTGCCAAAGCATGGTTCAAACCTGTGATCCTCCTGCCTCAGCCTCACAATGTGCTAGGATTATAGGTATGCACCAACCATACCTGACTCCATTTTTAATTATACATTACTGTGATGGTCCCCTAGAATGACTTTTTTTAACCAGAAATCAATCTCAGGCTGGGTGTATAGCTGAGCATCACAGCACCTGCCTAGCAAGTGCAAGGCCCTGAGTTTAATTCCCAGTACCCTCCCTGCAAAAAACTATTTAAAAGACACTACTGACAAGGTAGAAAATAGTATTTAAATACACTCAGAAGTATTTTATTGTGCAAAAAAAAGCAACTACACTTTGTAACACACAAATTTTTCAAAAGCAGGCTCATTTTGTTCTTTAAATTTTGCTTTCGTTTTGCTTATCTGTACCTACTTTCTCATAACTAGGAACCAAAATGTCAAGAATTTCAACTCCAAAAATGAAGTTGCATGTGGTTGCCGGTGAGATAGCTCAGTAGAATAAATGTTTGCCTAGCAAGCACAGGGTACTGAATTCAATCCCATCCAACCTTTCTGGTCTCTCTTCAGATGGCTGGCCACTGCTCTGGAGTGGGTCACCTCAGGAGATGCCTTGGGAATGTAGAAATTAAAGGGATACCCATTCTTTCTCTTGTACTTTCAGATGGGGAAGTTGATGTCAAAATTTTCCTCCTTTGAACTTCTCCTTCTCCTTCTCCTTCTCCTTCTCCTTCTCCTTCTCCTTCTCCTTCCCCCGCCCCTTTGGCGGAACCAGGGATTGAATGCAGGCCCTTACGCTTGCCATGGAAGCGCTTATCCTACTGAGCCATCTCCCCAGCACTGAACATATTCTTAGGTACTAGAAAATGTTCACCCTTACATGTTAAAAAGGATCATTTAATATGTTTTCCACCTATGCATGGCCCACCTACCCCTAGAACCAAAATGGAATGCAAAGTATTATGATGTTACTTTGCAACTAGAATTGTAGTATAAGAAAAAGTGGTTATAATTACCTTAACTTCAGATTTTCTTTGCATTAAAAAATAATCCTTACTTGTGTTCAAATTGTAAATGTAAGCCACAGGAAAACAAGACACCTCTGGCCCTTAAAGTATCCACTATCACTGAGCCTGAAGCTACTCCTCCTCACCCTTTGAAAACTAAGGACAAGGTTTCCAAAGTACCTTTAATCAAAGCCTCAGGCACTATCACCGACTCTGAGGCTTCCTCTGCTTGCCCTTCAGGTTTTAAAGGTAGAGCTTCTAGGCCAGCCATAACTAAAGCCTCCATAGGCTATATATATCTATCCTTAGCTGATTTTGTTCAAGCTCCTCAAGGGCAATATTCCTCACAGGAAGTGAGTGAGGAATTTGGAACCACTCATGTTCATATATGCTTTTCTCCCAATTACCTAAACCAGATCAAACTAGATGGACGAGTTTTCAAATGACCTTAATAAGTACACTGATGTGTTTAGAGGTCTTACTGAAACCTGTGAACTAGATTGCAGAGATGTAATGTTACACTTAAATCCCTAACTTCTAATGAGAGACAATGTATACAGACTTTAATCTGTAAGTTTCATAACAGTATTACAGATACCCAGGGACATATACTTTCAGAGTGGGCTTAAGCAAAGCCTAACCAGCAATGCTGTGGAAGGAAATTACCAAGATGACTAGATAGAGAACCAAACAACCTCTTTGTTCCTGGGCTGAGATTTCTTCTAGACTATTACTGTGTGTTTCTCCCCAGAGGTAATATAGATCTCTTCTTCAAGATAGGATTTTAGAACATTTTTGTTTAAAGTAATTTATTAAAAAGTAAGCCCTAAATTGGGCATGGTGGTACACATCAATAATCCCAGCACTCAAGAAACTGAAGCTGGAGTATTGTTATGCGTGCAAGGCCAGCCTAGGCTACCTAGTGAGTCCAAAGCCAACCTGAAACTACAGAGCAAGACTTTGTCTCAATAAAACAAAACAAAAGTAATCCCTAAACAATATAGTTGGGGGGTTCTTCTGCCACAGTAACCATTGAAGAACAGTAGCCATGGCCCTATGCTATCCCATGGCCATGGGCCTCAATAAGGTCACAAGGTGACTAAGAATGTGGGCAAACCAAGGCATAGCCGCTGTTGCAGATGCCTCACAAAATACAACAACTCCTTGCAAGATGTGACCTGGGAGGTGTGCAGCTTTGCCCCATACGAGCAGAGCACCACAGAGCTGCTCAGGGTTTCCAAGGACAAACGCGCCCTCAAGTCCATCAAGAAAAGGGTGGGGATTCACATCCAGGCCAAGAGGAAGTGCGAGGAGCTAAGCAATGTGCTGGCCGCCATGAGGAAGGCAGTCGTCAAGGACTGAGCCACTCTAGAATAAAGCTTTGCAGAAAGTTAAAAATAAAAAAATATGCAATTGGGACAATTAAATTTTCTCTCTCTTTTATGCGGGACTGGGGATTGAACTAGGGACCTCGCACATGCGAGGCAGGTGCTTAAGCCACTCAGGCTTATATCCCTGGCCCTTACTCTCTTTCAAAAGGTGACAAAGCAGACATTCAGATTCCTTGATTATTGGCTTAATTTTCTCCTGAGCAATACAATTGGAGTCAATCCTGGCTTTTGTCTCTAGAAATGTTTTGCTAAGGATTATAGATCCACCCTAGAAAAGCTCTTGATCCTGTCTTTCTGCACCTGAGATGGTTAGGATTTAGTTCTTGTGCCACATTTGAAGTCACTCCTAGGTCCCTTCTCCACTGCCCTGCCCCTGAGAAATAACATAGTTCACAATAGTGTTCGATGCAAGGCAATTTTCCCTTGTGGCTGCTAGACTGCAGGACCAAGATTCCAGAATAGGGAGTTTGCCCTCCCTGGGACCCTTTCAGAGTTAAGCTGACCCTCTCTTATCTCTGAACCATATTCAAAAACTGGCTAGATTTAATTACATAACTTTTACACAATAAATGTAAGTTTTTAATCCAAGTTTATCTGTCTTGGAGAGCTAACTTCTCTACTTCTCCCTCCCTCAAGAACCAGGCTGACTGGCTTTTATAACATAGCACTGACTGAGTGATTCTGGTAACACAGATAAGACAAAACATTCCTAGTAAAATATGAGTTTTTAAAAGAGAACAGGTATTAAAAATAGGAACATCCCAGTCCTGAGAGAACTGCCTCTCTGATCATGACTTCTCTTTAGACTATCTTGCCAGGCTGGTCATTATTCTCAAGAGATATGCTAACAAAGACTCTAAAAATGAAGACTATTGCTAAGTATGGTCCAAGGGTCACAGGCAAAAGGGGAAATCTGTCATAAGTAGATGTCTGCCGTACAGCAGGTTGGATCCTTGGCAGGTCTTCTGTCCTCACTGCTTTGAATTCATACTTTGCTTGAGAAACACCTATTATCTTTTTACACCCAAACCTGGACTTTGCACACACATCCCATAGTTAAAATTACATCTAATGGTCTGCCCCTTTATAGGGAACAGTTACACGTGGCTATCAAAACAGCAGTTCAGGGCTGGCCACATAGCTCAGCAGACTAAAGCACCTGCTTAAGCACAGCGCAGCGGCCAGGGTTTGATCCCTGGTGTGCATGCCGCCCCGGCCTCCAGGGCCCACTGAGATGGCGACTGAGACTGGGCATGGTGGCACGTGCCTATAATCCCAGTGCTTGGGAGGCTGAAAATAGGAGAATCACTATGAGTCTGATCTATACAGTGAGACCCAGTACATCCTGTTCTAAATACATTTAAAAAAACAAACAAACAAAAAAAAAAAGTTCAGGCTGTCAGCTGTGACTATCCAACAACCATTGCTACCAAAACAAGAAGCCTATATAGCAGGATATTCCAACCAGGTAAACCATCAGCCAGGTTCCATTTTAAAAACTGTCTTTGCTTTCACAGGTGTAAAAAGTTTATGTTCCTTTTGACTCTTATTACAAGGGACTCTGTTTACTTACCTACAAAAAGGTCTGATTGGTCTATTTAGAGTTACAAACTGAAAAACTATAAAAAAGTATTAGAATTCAACTTGGTCAAAAAAAATCTGAGTGGACTCTGGTCTATTAACAATTGTCTTATGTATACCTGTCTGTTGAATTTGTGACTGATTACAATACCTATCACTGTTTTGTTTCAGTTTAAGCATTTTTTTCTTTCTCCCTTTTTCAATTTTTACAATATTTGCCTATAACTTAAATTGGCTTATAGATAAATGTCATTAGAATTAAGGACATGTTTCACCCAGGTTGTCAGTTGATCAAAATTATGTTAAGACTGGTGTTACAAATGCAGTGCATATATTGTCTCTGTGCAATAAGTAGAAAGTCACTGGTCAAGAATAATGTGTTAAATGTTATGATCTGGTTCTCATAGGTCATGTGAAAAAATTTGTTAAGACAATTAAATAGGGACGCCTTAGCACTAGAGAAACTGCTAGGCAGAATTCTCCTTGGTGAATAATGGAGTAGCTGCATGGAAACATTTTTATTTGTCTTTGTTCACTAAGTCTATTCTATATTAAGATAGACATTCAAATATCTTTCAAAAGTAGTATCATGATTGTTATGTAGCTCTATGTGGTTCTAGATTTCAAGAACAAAATTTTCTCTATAAAATTTTTACACTCGTTTGTTAACATTCTTCAGGGATTCAATTAGCAAAAAAAAAAAAAAAGATTGGTAAGAAATAACAGTCTTACTGGATTGTAATAATTAAGCATATTGTTCCCACTTCAATACTAATATAACTGATTTTTCTTCCTGGGTGTCCAGCAGCTAAAGTTTGTTTGTTTGTTTGTTTTTTCTTTTTATTTATTTATTTATTTACAAAATCTCAAAACAAGATTTTAGGAGAGTAACAATGGTTAGTACATTGTGTATTGTTACTGCCAAAATAGTTTCTCATATTACAAGATATAGACAAGAAATAATAAATAAACAACATAGGTACAAACCTCTTTTTTTTT